ATGAGAATCCAAAGTAATTCCAAGATATTTGTAGGTAGTGACAATATCAAGGGGTTTGTTTAAAAAAGTGAGTTGATTTGTTATATTGAAATGGGTGAGGAAAAATGCACACAGTTTTTTTAACATTAACTGACAAAAGATTATCTTGAAGCCAACCATGAAATGTCTGAAGATCTGCTTGTAACTGACTATTAATATCATCCAAACATGTACAACAGAAAACGTAATCAAGACATTCAGTTACATTTTCACTTCTGGGTTGTTTTCTTTCTTCCAGTGGCAGACAGGATTAACAGCGAGGCCTTTCAGGGAGACGACGAGTTTCTTTCCATCATCCAGTCTCAAGATGACAGGATTGGACATATTCAGATAATTAGCCACCAGGAGGCATTCCACCTTAAAGACAAAACATTTAATCTTTACAGTAACTATTCACTTTGTTAAAAACTGTACATAAAAGTCTGTAAAACTTCTCATTTAGGACCTAAGTTTTATAACGAGCTAATTTCTGAAGCTATGAATACGAAGACTTTTATGGTGACTTTGTTTACAAGCAAAATATCACATTTGTGTTGCACAACCCACAGTCTAAATTTCGGGGCTGAACCAGACACAACAGCTGATATTTCAGTTCTGAAGTGTTGCACAAACGCTTGTGGTAAAAACCAAGGAGTGTGCGACTTTTAAAATCTGCTGTTTTTTATTCAGAATGCTCTWACCTCGGGACTGGATGCGCTGGCCGTCTTCTCCACACCGTCCGGGCAAAGAGCTTTCACAGCACAGAGCAGCAGGGCAGCTTTATAGACAAACATTTCACATTAATTGTAAATAAAACAAAATTCATCCCAAATTAGGTTGGTATGTTTTTTAATGAGTTACTTTTAAAATGCAAGAGCAATGAAAAATAAATGTTAGGTTTTTCTTTGGCTGTAATCTATATTGATAATTATTAACATCAATTATTATTAATTATATTTGTGTTGGATAGGCTTTGTTTTCATCAGTATTTAGAAATTTCTACAAATGATGCCATCTTAAACACTTAAAAACAGATGTTTTAGATGTTAATGTCTACTGGTTCCACTTCAGTTGAGTTACTCAGTTGATGTAACTTTATTAAGTAAATCCAACACATCTGTTTTTTGAGTGTAATTCCTCAGCAGAGTGGATCTGACTCTATAAAACTCAATCTGTTCTGTCTGCGGCACGAGTCACATCTGAGCAGACCACTGAAAAATTAAGTTTTTAAAAGGCATCGTTCAAAAGTTAATAAAGAACATCCCCATTATTCATTCAGACAAAAAACCATGTTGAATGTTATATGTTGAATCAATCTTTGACACCAAATAAAGGTGAAATTTAAGAGTTTTAATGTTTGTTTTTTCATCCAATAATGTTAGTTATTATTTATTAAATAGTAGATTACATTAATCTCAAATTCATTTTCAGCCTATCAGTAATTAAATTAATTGGATTCTAAAAATGTGTCTAATTTGATTGTTTATAGAATGTTTACACCTCATAAACTAGTAAAGGTACGATATATTTGCTTCTACAGATATCTTTTTTAAATTTCTCAATATTTAAAACAAATGCAAATTTTTTCTGTCAGTCCTGCATCAATAGCTTCACCACAAACCACAGTAAACACTCATCAATATGCAGGACGCAGCTTCTACAAGTTGAGCATTTACCTAGATATTTTAACCTTTTACAGTTAAAAAGAGGGGAAAAATCCATAAAACACTAATATGAAAAGAGTTACACTTGGTTCTACAGTACCATGAAAACTGCATATAAGAAATGATCATTAAAGAATTGTTTGTCAAAATGTAAACAATTCTCTGCAATCTATTTTTATAATTGATTAATTATTGTAAATTAATCACCTAATATGGATTACATTTAAATGCCTAACTACACAAACTTGATGAAAGCTTTAAAGGAAATGTTTCAGAATAAGATATTTGATAACCAACAGAATAAAAACGATCAATAAGCAACAAAACAAAACAAAAAATGGGTTAATATTTGCCCTTTAACTGTCACAATATGCACCACAGATTTGCAGAGACAAAAATAAACAAATAAAATAAAAACTGTCACTCACCTGCAGCTACTGCAGATTTCGTTTTCTGCATCGTGTTTTTTTTCCCCGTCCGCCTGGCTCACATCCTCCGTCTCAGATCAGTGGCTGAAACTCTGTGCATGATGTGTGCAACTGTCTTTTAAAGAGAGGAAGTATTACTTCAAATAAGGACGCCCTTGCTGCAGTTTTTGTGGTGTAAAAAAAAACTCATAACAACCCGATACTTTGACAACATAATGTGTGATGACACATATAATGACAAGGAGTTGTCATTACTGTAAAGGCATGTGAAAAAACGGGACTGACCATGTTAGCTGAATATTTGAAAAAATATTACTGAACCATACAGAATAACTTTCATTGCYTGCCACTGAAAGACAAAGTTTTGTGTGTCTACTGTCTCATGAAMAATTTTATTTAAAACTGCTGAAAGKATTCATTCATGTGTACAAATACAAGTCGATTCACGATGGCCACCACAGCCAGCTGACCTTMGAAAACACGGTTGTTATAATTCTTTCAGTTTTACAGATATTGTGCTAAACTGTAGGTATGGTAGTGGTTGAGAGCCATCCCCAGTTCATATTCAAAGTGCTGTTCATTGTGCAAAATACTGTATTTGCTTAACAATTGTTAGTAGCCTAATTCCTGTTTGTCTGTTRGCAAAATATTACTATAAAACATTATAATTCACTAYTTTTACCTGCATTGGTGGGCACAGCTAACCTAATTTATAATCCTAACTCAAAGTATTGTAGGGATGTTGACATTGTCATCAGCGGCTGTTGTTTTACATTACAGTGACTAAATTGCAAAATGTTGCACTGAGGGTGACCTCGCTAATTACTGCTCCTGTTTCGTTATTTCAATGAACTCTGAGAAACCCTGCAGACAGCAAATTCAGCATGGATAAATCACCTGATTTTTCCCCCATGTGATCCCTTAAACAGGCAAGCTTATTTGAAGAACATTATTTTTGTTTTTTTCCTAAATTTTTTATCTGAAATGTCGAAGTAAGTTTTTTCCTCCACAGAACTGCCAATGATGGAAATGTTTTAGCRCGAGTGTTGACACTTGTCTTCGTCACTTGTCACATTTTGCACGCCGTTATTGGTTGAGGGTCTTTGTCTAGGAAACAAATAACTACATCCATCCATTATCTATACCCACTTCTTCCTTTCAGGGTCACGGGGTCACTGGTGCCCATATCCATCAGCCACTGTGCGAGGGACAGGGTACACCCTGGACAGGTCACAAGTCTGTCACAGGGACAACGAATATTCATCTTATAGATTTCCAAGACACATCAAGTGGATTTGATGTTGCAGTTTGCTGATCTGAGCCTTTTTAACATGATTTTCATTCTTTTTTTTTACTGGACTTTCTAATGTATTTTTGTTGTTAGGATACAAGATGTTTCTGAAAAAAGCAGAAGGTGAATCATTTCTGAAAATGTCATCTTGAATATTTAGGAAGTTATAAGCAAAAAAAAAAAAAAAAAAAAAAAAAAAAAAAAAAAAAAACCAAGGCAGAATGATCAGGCCCGATTGGTTCAGTGATGAATCATGGCAGAAATCATGGGCTTGATTTCCCGAACAAAACCATCCACAATTTTTGTTATTTTAAAGGAGTTTTAATGTTATTTTTGAATTCACTGTCAGATCTGATATTGGTGCCGGATACACTGCTTCATATCCCTAAATACTGCTTTGCTAATACTAAATATGTAAAACAATTAGTAGAAGCTAACACTAACAGCTAACCGCTAAGATGACATTCACTCAGTCTTCGTCACATCTTCATCTCCTTGGAGCAGAAGACTGGTGGGACTGACACTGTTGAGTTTGTTAGTTAGCTGKTAGCGCASACAGTTGGCAAACCCAAATTTAGCAGAAGCTAATTGGTTTGTTAATAAATTTTTAAGTTAGTAATAAAAGCTAACCCGCTGAACATTTTATTTCTTTTTCTTTTTTTCTTTTTTTTTACGATTAGCTGATTAGCAGAACCATGCTGACTCAATAGGGGAGTCTGGCTCCTCTCAACGTGGAGGAGCAGCAGCTCTACTCCGAGTCCCTCCTGGATGACTGAGCTTCTCACCCTCTCTCTAAGAGAGAGCCCAGCCACCCTGCGGAGGAAACTCATTTCGGCCGCTTGTATCCGCARTCTCGTTCTTTCAGTCACTACCCAAAGTTCGTGACCATAGATGAATGTAGGAACGTAGATCGACTGGTAAATCGAGAGCTTTGCCTTCTGGCTCAGTTCTTGCTTCACCACAACAGACCGGTACAACGCCCGCATCACTGCAGACGCTCCATTCTTCCCTCATTCATGAACAAGACCCAGAGATACTTAAACTCCTCCACTTGGGGCAGGACTTCCTCCCCGACCCGGAGGCGGCACACTACCGATTTTTGGCTAAAGACCATGGTCTCGGATTTGGAGGCACTGATCCTCATCCCACATGGTGTCCAATCCATAATTACACAAATGCAGAATCTTGACAATCGACGGATTGGGGCCTCGTCCTCAGTAATGAGGGCGTTGTATCAGTCAGTTGTGGTGAAAAAGAGCTGAGTCGAGAGGCAAAGCTCTCGATTTACTGGTCTGTCTTCGTTCCAGCCCTCACTTATGGTCATGAGGCGTGGATCGTGACTGAAAGAACASGATCCCRGATACAAACAGCCRCAATGAGCTTCCTTCGTAGGGTGAACCGGGATCAGCCTTCGAGCTAAGGTGAGGAGCTTCATCATCCGGGGGGAGCTCGGAGGAGAGCCGCTGCTCCTCCACATCAAGAGGAGTCAGTTGAGGTGGTTCGGGCACCTGATTAGGATGCCTCCTGGACTCCTCCCGTTAGAGGTGTTACGGGCATGTCCCACTGGTAGGAGGCCCCAGAGAAGACCCAGGACTCTCAGGAGAGATTATGTATCCCCTCTGGCCTGGGAAGGCCTCGGGGTCCCCCAGGACAAGCTGAAATTGCTGGGGAGYGGAATGTTTGGGTTTCTCTGTTGCCTCTGCGACTCGACTACAGATATGTGGAAGAAGATGGAGAATATTGATTTAATATTTAAGAAAAATAGGTTAAAACGTTAATTTATTAAGTGTGATACCAGCTCAATTTACCGCAGAGCTACAATTTTGACTTTATTAGTTTCACACAGCTAAAATTGTGCAATTTATGCTAGGTTTATGACCTCTTGCTGTAGCTCATGCAATTGATGAATAAAATGCATTTTAAAATGATTGATATTGATCTAAACACACTTCTCATCAAAGTTATGAAACAGTAAATTCACTTTCAGGAGTAAAAAAAATGTRTTTTTTTAAGAAATAAATGTCTAACCACCCTACCCTCAGACTACATGAAATGATGGTTTCCGCCTATTTGGTCACACTGCAAAAAATGTCCACATACACCTAACCAAATATAATATTCAGCCAAAAAGTCTTTTTGATCTTGTTTTGAGACTGATTTACTAAACAAGAACTGATTGTGTAAGAATAATAATCTTGTGTAAGACTGTGTAAGATTATTTGCCTTGTTAGTCTGAAAATTTGACTCAAATTAAGTAAAAAAAAATTCTGCCAATGGAGTAAGAAAATTTTACTTGGTAAGATTCTTGAAATACTTGATTTGACTCAGTTTTTTCTTATGTCAAGAATCTTATTAAGTAATTTTTTTACTCCATTGGCAGAAATTGTTTGACTTAATTTGAGTCAAATTTTCAGACTAACAAAACAAATAATCTTACACATTCTGAAAACAAGATTATTATTCTTACACAATCAGTTCTTGTTTAGTAAATCAGTCTCAAAACAAGATCAAAAAGACTTTTTGGCTGATATAAGATTTTAAGACTTGGTAAGATGGACAGTTTTTGCAGTATCACTGTTTTCTAAAAACAACACAACACACAAGCTGTGCATGCATTCCTTCTAAGAATAGGCCTTTATCTTCTAAATAACATTTACATAATTACAAAGGTGTATTTTAAGTTTTTGCCTTTTTCATTTTAATGCTAAGCCATTATTATAAGCTTGTTCTGAACTTATCGGTGTAAGTTGAGTTTGCAGCAGGTGAATTTTGCTGCACTCGGACAGTAAATCCATGTCATCGGTTCTCCACTCAGCAGCCTGGCTGCGAGCAGAAAAACAACAACAGGCTACTTTGCGAGGAAGGCAGCTGCATGGGTTAGCGACAACAACCACGGGGATTTCACGCATGCAGCCCTATTTTCTTAAACAAAATGCACCTTAGACTTATGATGTGAGCACTATGGGGTATTATTGTTTTCCGTGAGCTGGAGTGATACGAATCAAGGGGGGAGAAACCTGTTTGTAAAGTAGCTGGCTTTTAGCACTTAGCTTGTCCGTGCGTCTCTATGTTCGAGCGTCTTCCGGCAGAAACGGCGGCTGCAGCGGTGCCATGAACAGTGGACTTCCACCTTCAGCTGCTCCGCTCGGGGGTGCCGGGATACCCAGTGTCAAGGTGAAGTTTTGCCGGTACTACGCGAAAGACAAAACCTGCTTTTACGGAGATGAGTGCCAGTTCCTGCACGAAGATCCGTCCATGGGAAGCCTGCCGCTGCACGGCGGCGGTAGCCCCGTCCCGATGCCGTCAGCTGCGTACTCCCTCGGCGGCACGGCGGTGACGGCTTGCCCGGGCGGCGGGGGGACCGGCGTGTCCAAGAAGAACGAAACACTGGGGCCTGCGGGCACGTCTCTGGAGGGGCAGCTATTAACCAGTGAGTACACTCAGACAAGGCCCCAGACGGGTCGGCTAGCTCGGGTTTCCTCAGGGCCTCACGGAGCGGTGTCATAATTTAGCCCGAGGATTCACCCGGGCCGCTTTACGTCCAAACACCGTGGGGAAGTTTAAACCTCCAAAATATTCACTCTCCGAAGTGCAGTTATCACATACCGAAGATTTTATTTTTCTTGTAAATTGTTTAGTTTTTACGTTGAGTTTGTCAACTTGCAACGTGAGCCATGTTTTTGCAGCCCACATGCCGGAGGCCTGTTGTTTTGGTATGACAGCTGTGCAGCTAATAGCCTCTAAACAAAACTAGGTTCAAATTTAAAAAGTCAAGTAACTTTATTATGTTTGTTTGTWTCTACATAGAGATGTAATATGTGTTAGTCATTGCGGCGTTAGTCATTGTGTAGTAAAATGTTTGTTATATCAAGTGTAGTGTTGTTTGCTTAATGTTTGCTATTAGCATGTCAATGCTAACTGCACACACACTGGGCTTTGTTTTTGCTTTTTGGTGTCTTTTTGATAGGTTAAAAAAACTACAGGTAAAAAATATTAAGTTGTAACATAAAATATCAAAACTTTATGTAAGTGTTACAGCTTAAAGCCACAAAAAGTAACTTGTCAGTAAAAACAAACAAACAAGGTGCAACGGTTGGTTCAGGTGTTTTGACAAAAAAAAAAGCTTACCTGCCGTCAAAAGTACGCCCTTAACCGCAAGTGTATTTAAAAAGCCTCTTGTAGACATAAAAAGCAAAAGTTGTGTGACAAACTTAGTTTGCTTTACTCTTAAAAATCACAGTTCTCTATAGTTGTTCAATTACGATATACATTGCTATCCTAAAGTTTTAAACAATCCCTAATTGCTGTACAGTTTGCTAAAAAAAAAAAGTGGGGTAAGGTTACCTTAACTTTCCGAGGATCCTTTTAAACTTCGGCTGCTTTCTTTATCATCCTTTGAATTTAGTTGGGATTTTTTTATGCCTGAGTCAAGCCAGATTTAAGTGGCTTAACCACCAACAATCCTCTGGTGAGCACTTTTGTGGTGTTTACTTTTTTTTCCTGGCACAACACCAGTGTAGGTTTTGTGCATTGTTTCCATGCTTTTTATTTAGTTCTGTATGTGGTAAACTACATAGACTCAGTCTTGAGTTTATGAGTGCTTTACTAATTTCACTACATTGTTACTTTATTCATAGTCTCTGTGTTTTACTGTATAGCCTCTGTTCAGAATTAAGTCCAWCATATGTCTGTGTGGTTTTCTTGTCATTCACAGTCCCAGGAATGGAGGGTCCAAACCTGAGTGATGCCAATCTTACCAACTCTTACTTCAGCAGCAGCTTTATTGGGGTCAATGGGTTCGGAAGCCCAGCAGAGTCGAAATATTCAATGATGCAGGTATAAACATTAAATRATTAAAGTCAGCAAAACTACAGCCTGACAAAGTAACKCCACTAAAATTATATTTGGTATCACATATTTCTTTTGTTTTTGTTTGGTGTTAATAATATTGTTACAGTCTAGGTTTAGGGTTTTTATATTTTGGTGATCAGATGTACTCGATCAGTTATTCATCAGTAAGTGTGAGGTTCTTCATGAAAACCGAAGTTTTGGCTGTTTGGTGGTCTGGAACATTCAGGTGTGTGTTACCACARTGCCCAGGTGAAAACACATCAGCACTGATTTTAGATAAGTGGTTGTTTCTATCCATAAATGTGGGAAAGCATTTCCGATCCAAACAAAATCCACTATTCTACAAMCTGAAAAATAGTTCACAATTGAAACAGGGCTGCAACCGACCATTATTTTAATAATCGATTAATCATTTGATAATTTTTTCCGATTAATCGATGAATCGGAAAACAAAACAAAAAACATTTTTAATTTTGACCTCTTTATTCAAACATAGAAAATTTGGACTGACATAGCAAATTGCATAAAAACAGGTTGCTATTTGGGCTACTATAATATTAAATGTAATGCATAAATAAGTAAATATTTGTCAAATAGCTTCAGTAAAAAAATTAAATGTACACAAAAATATACACAAACATRCTATGTCCTAGAAASTCTCTTCATATTTTCTSTTCATGAGCTTTGTAAAATGTGTCCTTGAGGGAAGAGTGTATCCTGAAATAAAAGTGTGAACTATTGTAGTGAAGTCTTTATGTTTGACCATTGACAGTCTCACGTCAGTAAGAAGACTTTCAGTCATGACAGCTGCTTATTACAATAATTCAATAAATGTCTTGTTTTAGTTGCAATATTAGGTTTTAAGGCAAGTGTCTTCACTCAGACATTGTCAGGAAATTAAAACTTAAAGCTTAATCATTAAATTAATGCCATCATGAATCATCCGACACAATAAATTGATAATGAAATTTGTTGGCAACACTTATATTAATCAAATTTTATCGGTTTTATTGATTAGTTGTTGCAACCCTAAACTGGAAAATATTCTGGACATCTTTTTTGGAGTGGAGTCCCTGCAAAAGAAAGCCCCCCCCCCCCCACACCCACACACAC